ATATATATATATATATATACATACATACATACATACATACATACATACATACATACATACATACATACATACATACATACATACATACATACATACATACATACATACATACATACATACATACATACATACATACATACATACATACATACATACATACATACATACATACATACATACATACATACATACATACATACATACATACATACATACATACATACATACATACATACATACATACATACATACATACATACATACATACATACATACATACATACATACATACATACATACATACATACATACATACATACATACATACATACATACATACATACATACATACATACATACATACATACATACATACATACATACATACATACATACATACATACATACATACATACATACATACATACATACATACATACATACATACATACATACATACATACATACATACATACATACATACATACATACATACATACATACATACATACATACATACATACATACATACATACATACTTACATACATACATACATACATACATACATACATACATACATACATACATACATACATACAATGGAGAAAAGATGAAGATGTAGTTTAATTGTACCAAACATGCATGCATGTATGCAGTTATGCACCATGTGCGGTATATAAAAATATATGCACAATAAATGTGCGTGCGTATGTGTATCTGTGCGTGTGTGTGTGTGTCTGTCTGTGTGTGTGTGTGCGTGTAAAATAACTACATTAATTGATAATACAATTGATAATGATGAAATAATATTTAACAGTCAGACTATGAAATAATAAATAAAAACCACGCAATTATGCTGTGGTTGTATTTAGTAGTAGCAGCTCTTGCAGCAGTTGTAGTAGCAGCTCTTGCAGCAGCTGTAGTAGCAGCTGTAGTAGCAGCTCTTGCAGCAGCTGTAGTAGCAATGTACTACAGTCCAACACTTGACATTTTTTCATTATTGCAAATGTTTCTAGGACTGGTCTCTCAACTACTTAATTATTATACATATACATACATACATATACATACATACATATACATACATACATATACATACATACATATACATACATAAGTGTAAATATATATATATATATATATATATATATATGTGTGTGTGTGTGTGTGTGTGTGTGTGTGTGTGTGTGTGTGTGTGTGTGTGTGTGTGTGTGAGTGTTTGTGTTTGTGTGTGTGTTTGTACATATATATATATACTCATATTTATAATTATATATCTATTTAAATGTATACATTTGCTAGTAGCGCGCAATGGCATGTATTTTTACGAAAATATAAGATAAATTATTTATTAATATAATTAGTTAATATTAATCTATTTACGATTTCAATTTTAATAACTAATCAACCGATCGGTCGATCAATTGATTAATATTAATACGAATACTAATGGTAGTATAACGAAAATATTACTAGTACTATTGAAACTACTACTACTACTACTAACAATAATAATAACATTAGTAATAATTATATCTATAATTATAAAATAATTTTGAAAAATGATGTGCCTTGATAGAATTCCTTTCATCATCAGTAGCCCAGCAATGATGTTCTTCTTGCTCACTATTATCCTCCTAGCTAGCTTCGTAATCGTGTTTCTTTACTATAAGAAAATGAAAAGATTAAAAAAGCAAGACAGCAACAATAAAAATGGCGCCAACATCTATGACGTCATCGTGGATGTTAACAACAACAACAATTGCGTCATTGAAAATGACAACAACAACAAAAATGGCGTCAGGGTGGTTGAAAACAACAACAAAAATGGCATCACTGGAAACCACAACAACAACAAAACTGGCGCAAACATTTATAATAACGTCACCATGGATGCAAACAACAACAACAACAACAATGGCGTCATTGAAAACAACAACAAAAAAAATGGCCTCAATATTAATGACGTCACCGTGGATATAAGCAACAACAGCAACAACAATGGCGTCATGAAAAACAACAACAACAGTTGCATCAATGAAAATATCCCCGGAAATAATAATTATAATAATAATAATTATGACGTTGTCACTGATGATGACGTAGATGATGACGCCAGTAGCTGGCCTCTGAACTTAAGAGAAGATTATCCATTTTTACCTAAAATACATTACGTACACTAACTAAATATGATAACAAAGATATTATTATTTTTTATTTATTGTTATTATTATTGTTATGATGAGAATGATTACAATTATTACTGCTGCTACTGCTTTTGCTACTATAGCTGCTATTGCTGCTGTTGCATTATACTACTACTACTACTACTACTACTACTACTTCTACTACTACTACTACTTCTACTACTACTACTACTACTACTACTACTACTACTACTATTACTGTTGCAACAGCTGCTGCTGCTGCTACAAATACTGTTTCTAAAAAAATGTATAATTAAATTATAATAATTCTAATATTTGACAAAATAATTCTTTCGTTGATGATATTTTTCTTCACCTATGAAGAATTATGATGGGTTTTCTACACTGAATTCTGAGATATATATGAATCATTCTCATTATATATAATATAATATAATACAGTATAGTATAATATAATATAATTAATGTAAAGTAATGTAATGTAATAGAATATAATATAATTTAATGTAATATAATGTAGTATAATATAATTTGTCAACATATAATACCGGAAATAACGTACCAAATGACGTCATTTTACAGATATGACGAGTTATTTTTTGAGTTAAAAGTTAAATGTACGACTAAGATTGGTTTATTTGCTTTATGCTATGTTCTATATTGTACTATTATTTTAGTTATTCATTCGTTATATATGCATAAAGGCTTTGAAGTAATATTTTAAAAATCTAAATTAACTTTTATACATGCTGCAAGTGCTCTTAACATGAGTTAACATTTAAACATTTCTTTCAACTTTAATTGTGAAACGGATTTTAAATTCAGATTTTTTTCCTTCTAGAATAAGATTCATTTTATGGTAAAATATGATTTTTGCAGCCAAAATTAAGTTAATAAAATTGATTTTGCTTTTGGTTGTTGTCAGTTTATTTTTGCCAGTTAAAATTTGTGAATCATCTACCACACATCCAAAACATTTCAATGACATTGGTAAAAAATACTTTTTTAAAATATGTATTTCCTATTTCTAATTATATAGTTGGCTAGTTGATTGATTGACTGACTGATAGATTGACTGACTGACTAGCTGACTGACTTTTAATTAATTGATTTAATAAATGGATTGATTAAATACATAAATTAATTGATTGATTGAATAAATGAATAAAATGACTGAATGAAATTAGGAAACCCGATGAAAGACAGTGAGAAGTGTGGTCGGAAAGGCATTAAATCCCATGTTTGTGATCCAGACGGTTTGATAACCGTCGAACAAGGCCAGTGGTGCCAATCAGTCATGTAATCATCCCTATCAATCATTAATCATTCATTCATTCATTTATTCATTCATTTATCCATCTAACTAGTGATCAATCAATCAATTTTTTGTTTATTTAATCAATCAACTAACTATTACCAGCAATGAGAAACACATGTAAATGTTAAACTTACCCACTTAGAAAGCCTTTGACAACCACAAACAACAACAACAACAATAATAATAATAAGGATAAATTTTTTCAGCTTTCCAACTGGATGGAATAATAAATGAAATTTACAAATTTACTGTCTGTCCATGCCTCTCTATGTCAGCCTGTCATTCATCCAGTCGGTGATGATGATGATTGTGATGATGGTGGTGATGATAATGATGATGATGATGTTGATTATAATGATGGTGATGATAATGATGGTTATGGTGAAGGTGATGGTGATGACGATTATGGGGGTGGTGATGATGATGGTGGTGATGATGATGAAGACAATAATGATGATGATGATGACGATAATGATGATGATGATGATGATAACAGGAGATAAAGGAGGGGGAGGATATATAGTGGGCGTGGCTATGGTGGGGAAGATGGTTCTAGATCCTTCTACTCAATACCGAAGGTTTTGTTTATGACGATGATGATGATGGTGAAGAAGAAGAAGAAGACGACGACGATGATGATGATGATGATGATGATGATGATTTATTATCAACACAACCATCATCGTCATCATCACTACCAACATAGCCATCACCGTCATTATCATTATCAACACAACCATCATTATCGTCATCATCATCGTCATCACCAACCATCGTCGTTACCATTATCATGACAGCGACACGGATCCGGAATATAATGCCGCCATTTTGAAAAGAGCGCGCCTTTTTGCGACAAAGATCCTATATAACTGGAAGATGGGCAGATGCCAAGAAGATTTATTGATTTTTTATTCTATGCTTGATAACGTGGTTATTTGATTGGTTGGCTGGCTGGTTGATTAGTTGATTTGTTGGGTTAGGGTTAGATTAACTGATTGATTAATGAGCTGGTCGGTTGAATGTTTTACTGATTGATTTGTAAATCAATCAATCAATCATTCTTTCATTCAATCAATTATTCATACATTCAAACATAAATCGCCCACAGATTTTCATAGCAACAAACATGAAATCTCGAGTCATCAATCAATTAATCAAAAACCTCGTCCATCTAGATCTACATAGCAACAAACGCGATATCGAAATCCTGGTTGCCTGACTCCGTGGTTGGTGGGATCCTTCGAGATGCCTCCTTCAAAATCGAGTCCAGGACCAAAGAAAGTATAACCGAAGGGTTGAAGTTTATTCTACGCTCAATAAGGTTGGCTTGCCATTGAGAATGAAAAACTTTTCATTCTTTGCTTTTTAGTCTGTTGTATCCATGGATATATTATATATATATATATATATATATATATGATGGATATATACGATACATATATCCACAATGGATCTATATGATATATATATATATATATACATGATTATTGAAAGTGAATAATTATATTTTATTTTTTTTTCAATCTAGAGACCCGTTGAAAAACTCTGCACCTCCGCTTCACGTCACAAAGTCGATGCAATACTCGGATGATGATGATGATGATGATGATGATGAGGGTAACTAAAGATCATTACTATAATCGTCTTCATAATCATCATCATTTTTATCATAATTATAGTCATTTGTTAAGTTTGAAATGAAGATGATTAATTTAAATGACATACATACTGTAACATGTACACATATGTATGTGGTATTATATTGTTTCAGTATTCTTATTTGTAGTCATATTTATTTATTTATTTCCTGCTTTTGCTTTTGTTATCATTGTTATACGCCTTTTAATTGCCTTTTAATGCGATCTCATTTATACAGATAAATACACACGAACATATATATATATAATATATATATATATATATATATATATATATATATATATATATATATATATATATGGTTTTTACTATATTGAGTTGTGTGTGCATGTGTGTGTGTGTGTGTGTCTATCTTCTGTACCATTTAAAGTTTTCCATGACAGCACATCTCTATTTTTTTATTTACAATCGCCATTTTATTTTAGTTTGAAAACATGATTGCGGAATTTTTGAGATTTCAATTGTGAAAAGTTTTTTTAATCGCGAGTTCGGAGATTAGTGTAAAAGTTTTTTTCTTAAAAATAAATTTATCCAAAGAATTGTTTCATGAAGTTTATTAAAATTACGGATTTTTAATTTTAGAAAGATTATTTAGTTAGTTTATTCCGTCTTTTGAACTACTTTTTCCATTCATTCATCATTGATCATTCATTCTTCTTCTTTTGTCTTACTTTCGGACTAAAAATATAAATTAATTATTAATTAATTTAAATATTAAAATATAAGCTTGAATCATTTGGTAAAAAATTAAAATAATATATTTGTTTGTAGTTTTATAAAAATAAAATTTTAAATTGATTGATCAGTTACAAACAACAGTTACTTACATTTAGGTTAGTAATTACTGATTAGTGTTAATTTAATTAAGCTGTTGGGTAGAGAGGACATCATAAGATTTCCATTGTACATTCCATGGCAATTTCTTTAATGTCAGTTTTGGTTAAATTTAATTTTAATAAAATTATATTAAAAAAAGAAAAGCTTTATTAATTAAAATTTTTATTTTTGAACTAAAAAATAAATTATTTTATACTAACAAATTATTTACTAGAAATCAAAAAATGACTAGCTAGATCACTAAGCTATCTGTAGTATACATACACTTCTCTACTGCATTTTGTTTAACTTTGATTTAAAATTAAAATTAAATTAAATTGTTAACTATTTATTTTATTTATATATTTGGTTTTTTATCATTTAAAAATGATTTTAGACCTTATTTTTTTCATTTTGAATTTTAATCATTTTAAATTTTTAATGAGGTTAAGGATTGGTGTGTGATGATGTGATCATATTACTCATTACACAATTAAAAGATAAACCATAGTTCTCTCTCTCTCTTTTTCTCTCTCTCTCTCTCTCTCTCTCTCTCTCTCTTTATCTCTCTCTCTCTCTCTCTCTCTCTCTCTCTCTCTCTCTCTCTCTCTTTATCTCTCTCTATTAACTACTTAATAATATAAAGTAATAAATTTTAATACATATTTGATGCCTAAACTTGTTCATTTATTTATACATTTTTTGGAGATTTTAGTAGATCAGATACACTGTGTGTAGTGTTTGGTTGTTTGAACTGTAGAAGAATTTTAAATACACTGTGTGTCAAGTTTGGTTGTTTGAACTGTGGTGGATTTTAACTACTCTGTAATGTTTGTTGATTGTTTTTCCAGGAAGATGTTCTGGAAAAGTATCTACCTACCCTCCAAAATCACAGCCCTGCTTGAAAAAGAGGTTGTAGCGGTGTCACTGATTTTTATTCTTCTTCATTTTTTTACATGAAGTTATATTTAGTAAATATAATTAAAAGTTTGTAAATTAATTAAACATAATTTAAATGAAATGGGAAAAATTTGTCAATGAATGTTTAAAAGGCCTGAAGGTTTCAATTAAAATTACAATTGATTAACTTAGCAACAAGTTTAAACTGATTAAATTGCTTACTTATTATTATTATTACTGTTATTACTATTCCGCCCACACACACACACACACATAGATCATAATTACTGTCATTTTCAGCACAACTTTCACTTTCGTAAGGTCATTTCAAATCCGAAGCACAAAAAAACCCAACAACTGTATGTGATGTAAAAAAAGTGTGTATGTGAAAATTGAAAATTTAAGGACGTAACCTTAGAAGAATTGTTGAAGGAAGATGACATCATCGATGAGTGCAAATCCTGCAATACTCAGCTTATTGACATGTTGGTTGTTCTCTCTCTCTCTCCCTCTCCCTCTCTCTCTCTCTCTCTCTCTCTCTCTCTCTCTGTCTCTCTCTCTCTCTCTCTCTCTCTCTCTCTCTCTCTCTCTCTCTCTCTCTCTTACTTAATTTTGTATATTCATTCATTTGTTCATGTTTGGTACTGCAGATTATTTACACTTTTTATGTTATTTAATTCTATTAGACTATTTAGTTTTTTTTCATTCTCATTTTTTTTTGTAAATAACGCTCTTTCGTTCTGCCTAACTAATTCAGAATAGTGAAAGAAGAAAACCTAAAGAAGATTGTTGACATGATGGTCAGTCGGCCAGACGATGAACTGAGTGAGAAAGAGAAATATAGGTTGTAGTCTGATGGGAAGAATGTTGGTGGGATGATGTCGAGTGAATGAGAGGAAAATCATAAATGATTATTTATTCAAGATCATGATGGTGAATAAAAGTAGTGCTGAAAATGATGATGGTGAGTAGGAGAGAGAGAGAGGAGAGAGAGAGAGAGAGAGATGTTTATGATTATTGTGGCTAGTATGATGAATAATTAACTAGATGACAACCTGAATGATGATGACGAATATGATTATGACAAGGAGTAAAATGGTTTTCATAATGACAAAATGTATGATCTCAAAAGTGTAACTAAAATATGTGATAATGACAGTAACAAAAAACAACCTTGAACTTGAACTAGAAACGCCCACGTAGCCTGCGAGATCTTGACCTCTGACCTGACACGGATAACCGAAGCCCTGTCAGAGAACGAGGCCTGCCTCGAGAAAATTTACTCATTTTTTAGGCAAGAACCGCCGCTGAATCCACTGCAGTCAAGTTTTTTTAGCAAAACGATGGGGCTGTTGATTACTCACGAAAGTAGAAAGGTGGCGTTGTTGTTGGTGTGAATTGTTGTGGGTGTGAATTGCTGGGGGGTGTGAATTGTTGTGGGATGTGAATTGTTGTGGGTGTGAATTGTTGCTGGGTGTGAATTGTTGTGGGGTGTGAATTCAACTAATCAGCCCATCAATCAGCCAACCAACCGAATAAATTACAGACATTATCGTTCTTGAAGTCGAAGGACGATTTCGTAGATCTACTCATGAGAAATTTAAACATCTCGGCCATTTCTGACCTCTTGCTCCGACTCATCACCTGCATCGAGACCATCGAAGTTAGGAACGAGTGCTTCCAGGTCCTTGCTATTATTATTGTTATTATTTATTATTATTTTTATTTATTATTATTGTTGTTGTTGAGTGGATTGTTGAATGGCTGTTTGATTAATTGATTGGTTTGTTGGCTGGTTAACTGGTCGTTCTGTTTGCTATCTGGCTGGTTGGTAGATTGATTGATTGATTGACTGATTGATTGATTGGTTTATTGATTGATTTATTGATTGATTGGTTGATTGATTGGTTGATTTCATTTGATGTGTTAATCATTTCTAGTGGTTGAGTGAACAGAAGATAGTAGAACGCCTTCTAGCATTGGTTGATGCCTCCCAGTCAAATGAAGTATGCGCGAATCAATGAATGAATGAATGAATGAATGAATTAATTAATTATAATTAATTAATGATTAAGAATGTGAATGAAAAATGAATGATGAATGTTCAAGTGAATTAATGATCAAGTGCAATGGATGAATTCATTGACTGACCAATCAAATAACTCCCTTCCCCCACTAAACAAACCAACCGACCAATCAAATCACCAGGTGCATTACAATGCCTGCCAATCGCTGTGCGACATTGTTAGACTGACGCGCGACCAGCAGCAGCAAACTGTCGCCGCTTTCGTCATCAGCGACGACGACCCGTCAACAGAGAACAGCAGCCGATTCACGCCAGCCAATCCCGTCCTTCTAAATGCCATCGAAAGGTTGAAATATCAACATCTTGATAGTAGTAGTAGTAGTAGTAGTAATAGTTGTAGCTGTAGTAGTAGTTGTTGTAGTAGTAGCTGTAGTAGTAGAAGTAGCAGTGTTAGTAGTAATAGTAGAACTAGTAGTGTACATACTTTAAGTAATTGTATAAAATGATACAGACGATATAAAATTTTAATTCATTTGTATTTCGTTGTAGTGCCCATACTGTACGACAACTGCTGAACAAAGCAATAGGTATTCAACAACAACAGCATCAACAACAACAGCAGCAACAACAACAACAGCATCAACAACATAGTGATATTTTGCAAGACTTAACGACATCAATAACACAACAACAACAACCAAATGAATGCCAGCATAATGAGCAACAATCGCAACAACTACTACTACTACCTCAAGATACACAGCATCAGCAGCAGCAACCACAACAGCCACAGCAGCCGCTAGAGTTTGACAGCAATAATTTTGAGTCTATTGTCGTTAATGTAGTTAACGTCTTGCAGACTTTATTGGATTCTAAAAAGAATGCAATCACCTTTCAAAGGTTACTGATGATGATGATGAGGAGGATGAGGATGATGATGATATAACAGTGTTGGTGATGATGATGATGTTGCAGTTGTTGTTATTATTGATTGATGATGGTGATTATACAATCATGACATCAGTGTAGGTGATGGTGATGACTTTCATAATAGTGATCACAGTTGATTGGTTATCATCATCATCATCACCACCACTGCCACAAACTACATCGTTATCATCACCACCACGAACTATATCATCATCACCACAATCTACATCATCATCATTACCGCAACAGCATCTCAGAGGAAACAATCTTAGATATCACCAACACTTCCACCAACAACGATAGCGTAATCATCAGCGTCAGCAGCAGCAACGATGACGTCATCGTCAGCAACATCAGCAGCAGCGATGACGACGATAACAACAACAACATCACTGCTGGAAATGTCATAGAAAATCACAATGACGTCATCAGCCTAAGCATAGGAAACCATGATAACATCCAGAGTGGCGACTGTAACATTAGAGCCAAAGAACCTTCAACAACAACAACAGAAAGTCCAGACGCTGTTACCATTAGTGAAGACAGTAACAACATCAACGAAATCAACAACATCCCATCAACTACACCATCTGACATTTCAGCCACCATTAGTGATAAAGACAACAACGACGACGACGATGATGACAGCAAAATAACATCAGCTGCTGCAACAACAACAACTGCAACCCTAGCCTTAGATGTCTCAAACTCTACAACTACTCCTATTACTACTTCTACTACAACTACTACTACCAATACTAATGATGACATCAACAACATCACCACATCATCATCATCTGTTACAACGACATCAACAACATCATTATCAACAACAGCAGCAGCTGATAACCTAATGTCGTGCAACAACAACAGCAGCAATGCGAGTGATAACATCATCGATATAGTCGTCGAAAAATTGGACTGTTTCGTCTTCATGCTTACTAATCCGCCCCAGGTAATGGTAAGGATGACTGTGGTGATGTTGATGGTGGTGGTGGTGGGGGTAGTGATGATGGTGGTAGTGATGATGATGATGGTGGTGGTAGTGATGATGATGATGATGGTGGTGGTGAAGTTTCGAAATGACGATGATGGTAGATTTACTATTACAATCATTCTCGTCGTAATCATCATCATCAACAATGACGTCGTCATCATCATCATCATCATCATTGCTCCGTCAACAACCAACAGCAACACTACAACCCAATGCCAACAACGGCCGGCCTGTTGGCTCCGCCCCTTGGCATGACTCGCCTGTCAATCATCCGATTCATCAACTCCATCATCGTCACTTCAGCCTGTCCCAGTGTATTCGAGAAAATGACCAATGCTAATTTAGCTACCATCTTAGTGGTCAGTTATGGTGATGATGTTGATGACGATGATGGTGATGTTGATGATGAGGATGTTGATGACGATGATGGTGATGTTGATGATGATGATGTTCTGGTTATTATATGGTCACAATGATTATATGATGATGGTTAAGTGGTGGGCATCATCACAATCACCATCATCACAATCACCATCGTCACCATCACAATCATCATCATCACAATCACCATCGTCACCATCACAATCATCATCATCACAATCACCATCGTCACCATCACAATCATCACCATCATCACAATCACGATCGTCATCAGAACCTCTTCTTCCAGTATCCTTGGAATAACTTCCTGCACACGGAAGTGGAAAAGTTCATATACAACATTCTCAACCCCAGGCCAGCGTCATCCACTGCTGATCCTGATAACCCTCTGCTTCACCAGGTTTTGATTATGATAACGATAATGGTGGTGGTAGTGGTGGTGGTGATGGTGGATTTTGTGTGTTTATTTCGGTAGTCAAATTAAAATCAGGCCAAGATTCAACCGCTCCGTTTTTTGTATTAGTTCATTTTTTCATTTATCGTTCTCTACTTCGTTCTGTCACTCCATTATTTATTTATTTGTTCATTCGTTCATTCATTCATTTTTTACTCGTTCGTTCATTCTTTTGTTCATTCATTCATCCAGCTACTACACAAGATGAATGTTATAGAGAGGATCTGCCATGAAATTGAAATGCACCCACTACCAAAGTAACGATGATGACGACGACGACGATGATGATGATGATGGTGACTTAGATGGTGATGATGATTAGATGATGACGATGATGGTGATGGATGGTGATGATGATGATAGATTAGATGATGATGATGATGATTAACACCCTGGCCTACCATAACCCACTATTATATTTACATTAAATATAGTTACGCCATCACTATTTTCATCATCATTTACACGACATTACTATCATCATCGTCATCATCGTCATCACCACGAATAGAGATCTGCCCAATCAAGATCAAGGAGACGAGGGCGAGATAGACAGCCAGCCTATCAGAGAAGAGGGAATTAAAATGAGGCCAAGGCGGCCCGGCTATCTGGGTCACCTGATCGTCATAGCCAATCATCTCGCTAACAAATTCACTAGCTGTCCAGCATTGCTTGAAGGTGATGATGATGGTGATGATGATAGTGGTGATGATGATAGTGATGATGATGATTGGTTTACTGATTGATTTGTAAATCAATCATTCACTCATGACAGAACTTCCGAAATCGACCAGGGATATGTGGAATGAATTCAATGAAGGAGTGCTCTCGACCATTAACTCCAATGAGATTGTTAGTTTGACGATGATGACGACGACGATGCAATTTATTTATTTCATTGTAATTATTGAATCCTATAATTATTATTATTCATAATTACGATATACAGTTATAGTTAATAATAATAATAATGATAATAATTAATTATGCTATACAGGGCGTCTGTAACAAAGCTCTCGTGAGTACGGATGATGAAGATGACGACGACGACGATGACGATATAAGGACGTTGAGCGAACCGCAAGAAGATTCACATCAGAAGGTTCGTTGACTGATTGATTGATTGATTGGTTGGTTGGTTGGTTGATTGATTGATTGATTGGTTGACTGATTGATTGACTGATTGATTTATTGATTGATTGATTGATTGGTTGATTGATTGACTGGCTGATTGATAGTTTAGCATTCCGATCATTTGCTTTGTTTATTGCAATCTAGTTGGATGGCTGGTTAGTTTGTTAGCTGATTGGTTAATTGATTGAATGAATGATTGACTATATGGTTGAATGATTGATCATATGATTGAATGAATGAATGATTGATTGATTGGCCAAACAACCAGGCCTTCAATGAGTACCAAGAGATGCAGTTGACGTCAAATTTTCTTGAAAACTTTGGATTTACAGACGCTGATTTTAATGATCAGGATGAAACAATTAAGTAAATTTGCTGGCTGGTTGGCTGATTGATTGATTGGTTGGTTGATTGATTGATTGATTGATTGACTGATTGATTTTATTTCCATCAACAGATCACCCATAGAGGATAAACTGAACAGCATTAATTTTCATCTTGATGCTTTAGAGGATAATGTGAGCATACATACAAATATTCACACACACCCATACATACATACATGTATACATACATACATACATACATACGTACGTACGTACATACATACATACATACACACATACATACGTACATACATACATACATGCATGCATGCATACATACATACATACATACATACATACATACATACATACATACATACATACATATACATACATTCTTACATACATACATACAACAACAACAACACACGTTTAGACGGCATTTTCCCCGAGATCGGGGGTTGCCGTTTAGCTACCTATGATGAAACCGAAATACCCCTCGACGCCATCCACATCTGTCACTCGCCTCAGTATCACGCAACCCCGCTTTCACTATGTCCTTCTCCACCTGCTCTCTCCATCCCAATCGCGGCGACCCCTTCCTACCACTCCTTCAACCTCGAACTCCAACGCTCGCCTAATCCCGACCCTTTCATCCCTTCTCAACACATGTCCATACCATCGCAATCTCGATCTCCTTACCAATGTCACAATGTCCTCATTCAGTCCCATCATCGACATCAGCTCTGTACTACTCCTCCTATCCTTCACTTTAACCCCACATATCATCCTCACCATAGCTCTTTCAGCCCTCTGCAGTACACTTTCTTCCTCTCTCCTCAACACCCAAGTTTCACCACCATATACCATCGCTCCTCTCACACATGCTTTATTATATACCCCCCCTTTCATTTTCACTGGCCATTTCTTTCCACACAATACCCCACCCAGTTCCCTAAATTTCATCCATCCCACACGAACTCTAGCCGTAACTGCGCTCAAATATCCTCCATCCGCGTTCATCTTATCCCCTAAGTAAACAAAGCTTTCCACTCCTTCAATACCACCACTCAACCCCGTCCTTGCGTCCGTCCTATTAATCACACCATGAACACATTTCTTACATTTGAACGTGCCTTCCACCCTCACACCACTACATCTCTTATGCACCCATTTCTGACATCCTATACACAATACCGAGTTAGCCTTCACTCTCCTGTCACATACCCCACAGGGGTCTATTTTACTAATCACTCGTACATACATACATACATACATACATACATACATACATACATACATACATACATACATACATACATACAAACAAACATACATACATACATGCATACATACAAACACACACACACAGGCCATAAACGAAGCTTTGTTTGAACAAGGATGCGACCTACGCATACAACAGTTCGATGATGACGACGACGATGATAATAGCGGTGATGATAATGATTACCGAGGCGCCGGCGGTGATGATAATGATTATTCGTCTCCGTGCGGCAGTATTGTTAGTAGTTCTCGTCGTAAGTCCGGTGGGGGCCGTGAGAAGACTGATGGATGGTTGAAGAGGAGGAAATCCAGGTTGGTTGGCTGGTTGGTTGGTTGGTTGATTGGCTTGTTGGTTGGTTGATTGATTGACTGATTGATTGTCTGATTGATTGGAATTCAGACCACCAGTCAGTGAGATCGAAGCATCACCATCGTCATCATCACCAATGGATCGCCATCGCCAGCACCAGAGTCGCCACCACCAGGGCAGCAACAGCCGCAGCAGCAGAACATCATCATCATCATCACTCATCATCCACAAGACTCCATCTTCATCGTTATCCTCACCACTTCCGTCGTCATCATTATCATCATCAGCCTATAGGAACAGGATGAAAAGCTTCGATGATGACGACTGTGGCGCTGGCGATGATGACGATTATTGCAATTATGCAGACGATGACGATGACGATTACAATAACAAAGGAATGTTAGGCGGTGATGATAATGATGGTGGCCACGATGATGATGATGATTATGGTGTTGGTAATAACGGTGATGATGATGATGGGGATGAGGACAGTGAAGAGGATTTAGATTCGCCTAAGACCATCCATCAAACTAGTTAGTGGATAAATGGATGGATGGATGGATGGTTGGGTGAATGATTGATTGCATGAGTGAGTACATGATTAAACAAAAGAATGAATGAATGCATAGGTGAATGAATGAAACAACTGTTTATTGGACGGTTGATCATAGATGGATTGAAAGTAACATTACAAAATATCGAATGAAGGAATGAAAGAATGAATGATTGAATTCAATCATTCATTCATCAACATCAAACAGAAACAACATCATCATCGTCGTCGTCGTCATCATCAGTATCGGCTCCCACCAAACTGCAGTACGAACGCAAACACCAACAAAATTTTCCACTATCGTCATCATCATCATCATCACCGGAAGCTGTTATATCATCATCATCACCATCACCACAAACTATAATACCATCATCATCATTACCACCATCATCATCATCATTACCAGCATCACCGTCTTCAAAAACTGGCCTTAAAGCGTGCAAGGACAGCAGCATCATTAACAACGACAACGATGATGATGATGATAACAATGCGGACGACGACTACATAGTTATTAGAAAAAATGATAATAATAACAATAATAATAATAATAATAATAATAATAATAATAAAGGTTGCAATACTAAAAGTTCGAAAAACCACAATAATAATAATAACCACAACAACAACAACATTAATAACAGTGTTGACGATATTGTTGATGCCGTCACTTCAAAATTTGGCTCTATGGCTATCTCCACAGATGGTCAAAAATCCGTTTGTAATAGTAGTGGTTGTAGTAGTAGTTGTACTGGTGGTAGTAGTAGTTGTTGTACTAGTGATTGTAGTAATAGTAGTAGTAGTGGCAGTAATAGTAGTATTGTTGGTCATGGTAATGATCATTAGCGAGGAGCAGTAAGAGAAGTTGACGGCATTGATGATAATGATGATGATTGTGGGTGAGATTAAATATGATGATGATTATTATTATTTGTGATTTTAAAAGTAAACTTTGATATTACCATTTTTTCATTTGTAGATCATTTTATTTTTTGTTTTGTTTTGTTTTTCGTTTCGTTTTGTTTTATGATGATGATGAGGAAGATGTGATGATGACGTTGATGATGGTTATAAAATCGTAACTTGCTTGCTGGTTGGTTGGCTAGCTGGCTGGCTTGCTGGTTGGTTGGTTAGGTCGATCGATTTGATTGGTTAATTGGAGTTTGAATCTTGTTTGAAGGGCTGTTGGTAAAAGTTGAATAACGTTGTCGTTCGGCTATTTTAAAACTCTGATTTAAATCTTTATCTAGGATATTACTGTATCGCTGATTGGTCGATTGTTTGATTGACTGATTGGTTGATTTTTTTTAATTTACTGTTCGTCAATCAACTTTTATTTTTATCCAATTAACAACAAACGATTAATTATATTATATTGATCTAAACTAAATATTTCTTAATGAATGATCGCTGGATTGATTGGTTGTCTAAATAAATAATTGGTGGAGTGATTGATTGACTGACTGAATGAATGATTGGTTGGTTGAGTGATTGGTTGGCTGAATGATTGAGTGCTTGATTGACTGAATGAATGAGTGACTGACTGAATGATTGGTTGATTGATTTATATTTTAGTCGCGCGTTTATATTTATATAACAAATTTCATTACATGTCTACTTATTTCGTTTTTAAATACGCTAACTCTATATTAATCCGTAGAATTGCTATTATAAAAAACTTGAAAAGTGCCTAATATGCATACTTCCAATTCATCCATTCATTTATTTCTTCCTTTATTCATTCAATTGCACGCTCGCTCGTTCATTCATTCACTCATTCGTTCTTTCATTCGTTTATCTTTTCTGTTCCCAATTAATTTTCATCCAATCAATCTGATTCATTCATTCTATCATATAGCTTAATCATTCATTCTATAAAATAACTTTTTAACTAGTGAAATTATCACTTTACAGACATCACATTGCTTAACATTATGGCGCATATATGTATGTATATATATATATATATTGTATTTACCATATGTATATATATCTATATTATGTATATATGTATTTGCATAAAACAATGTATGTATCATATGTGTATATATTATTTATATATATTTAAATATATATATATATATATATATATATATACACATAAATTGCTCGACCCCCTATTATATAAAGTATGTTTGTATGTGTGAGTGTATGTTTATGTGTATGTATATTTGTTTATGTTTTACCGTAATTTTATATAACCAGACATTTGTACTATTGTTGCTATTTGTTATTATTATTATGATTATTAATATTAAATACCATAATTAGTAATTAAACAAACAAAAATGTCTGGCATAAATCTTTCTACCATATAATAATTTAGAATAATAATAAGGTGACGACAGTATTAAACAGCATACAGCCATACTAAACATGCAAACACACATACAAACGTGCATACATACATACATACATAAACACTTATATGTTTTTGTGTTAGTCTGTGTTTGTATGTGTATGTATATATGTGTGTGTGGGTGTGTATGTGTGTGGGAAGATGTGTAGATTAGTGAGTTATTGGGTTCAGAGGCTCAGCCCTGATTGACGGAAAGTCCAAATTTTTTTCGACATCCTCATCAACTTCTCCTATGACTGCCCTGTATAGTATGTTGCGAAATGTAACTTGTAACCAAAAAAATTATTATTATAAATTTATTATTTTTATTATTGGTCAAAAAATATGATTTAAATCAGTCTAACACATTGTCCCCACGAACGATGTATAAACCAAGCAGGACTTGCTCGACACCTTGTGTTAAAAGAAACAATAGTCATTATTTATATAATTAAAATGGGGGAAACAATTATGTAAATGTGTAAATTAATGTAAATATTATTATAACTAATAATAATAATTATTATTTTTAAGATTATTATTATTAAATATTTTTATTTATAATTAAAAATAGTTAGCTCGAGACCTTGTGTAGAACTATAGACTCTCTCATAACTATCATCTAGAATCAAGTTGATCAGCTGGTCGTAACCTTTTAACATGCCCTAAATTTTTTTAAAATAATAATAATTATTATTATTGTTATTTATTTTATCATTGATATTAATTACTCCTTAACTGTCAACTACCGCCCCTAGAGAAATTGTGGTGTGCTCAAAAGTGTTAAATGTTTTTGTTATTTCTCAAATTCTGGCATTAAAATAATAAAGTAGTTGTCTAATATGATACCTCATATTTTTTGCTAGAATACTTCTTACAACACTTATAATTAACAACTAAATTAAAATATAACACTTGAGAAATGAATAAAAATAATTCTTTTGTTAATTAATACAACTACAACTTTATAAATTTACTAACCACGATGACTCGGCCGTCACTCGTTATTATTGACACCATGTCTGGATGTATGACGACATAAAATAAAATTATTATTACATAACAAAATAATAAATTTTATATTTTTATCAAACAAAATTAAAAAATGATCATTTGAGAAGGAATTTAAATGAAAAGAAGTTGAAAAACGTTATTTACGATTGACAATAGATTCCAAAGTGGTCGACATAGCTCTCTAACTTTCCGGAGTTAGTATAAAAAACCTAAAGCCGCAAACGATAACGAAGATTGAGCGATATAACAGATAGCGGTTCTGTTTACACAAAGTTGCATAGAACAACCATGGATATATATATATATATAAATGATATATATATATAAATATATAATATTTATATAATAGATCCATGAAAACAACTCTTATTTGTTCAAATATATATATATCTAAATATATATATATATATATATATATAAGGATTTAGACCATATTCGATACAGTTTTTAAGAAAATCGACCGCGTTAATACAATTATTATATTTATACATTAATTTTTTGGCTTTTAACTCAGCAACAGTGTTTTCGATTTTCTCCGTATTTTTCTAAAGTTTCATAGGATATTATAGAGTGTTCGACTTAATTTTGATTTCGTTTTATAGCATAAATTTAGAAGAATAAAAGGATATAAATTTTGTTCAGTTGGTTGTTTGCAATTTAATTTTGTTTTATTTTTCACTATTTTTTGGTTTAAATTTTGAATTCGCGGTAATAAAGTTAAAGTTGTAAACAATAAAGGATAGTTTATAGCAGTTGCACTGTTTTGAAAGTTCAAAACTGTTTGCGATTTATTTTCTAATAATTTTGATATTTTTGTTGTTACGGAATCCTGGCATGGGTAGTCCGATAATTTATCACTTAGACTCACTCTACCACCTGATTTTGTGTTCATAGATTTTTTGAGGCCAGCCGACCCTAACCATGGTGGAATAATTGTATTTTTTTTAAATTATTTTAAATTTTATAGAATTCCTCTGTCTTTATTTAAGACGTTTGAGGCTATAGTTGTGAAATTTTATTTCAACAAAGTAACTATTGTTGTTTTTGCAATTTATCGTCCTGGGTCTTCTATTCCATCACCATTGTTTTTTGATGAGTTATCATCTGTTTTTGATCAAATATTGCTTTTAGCAAATTATGTTATTTTTATTGGAGATGTGAATATTCATGTTGAACTTGGTTGAGGGTTGAAAAACGTGTTTCCTTCAAGTTGGTCGTTTTGATGTTTAAATGTGTCAATAATACAGCACCTCCCTACCTCATCGATAGATTGGAATCATACAAATCTCATTTTTCAAAATATTCCTTCCGATCAACCGAGCGCAATTTATCTTTTATCCAGACCACAAAGTTGGTGACGGGTTCCCGCAACTTTGCGGTTCTTGGTCCGATTGTTTGGAATGGTTTACCTCCATACTTACGTGACCCTAACCTATCATATTTAGAATTTCGAAGTCAACTTAAAACTTATTTATTTGCACAATGAATGTCCGTCTTATTTGTCTATGATTTAGTAGCGCTTTTGAGATTCAACAATAAAAAAGCGCTGTATATAAATTTCCGTAATAATATATATATATATATATATATATATATATATATATATATATATATATATATATATATATATATATATATAAGGATTTAGACCATATTCGATACAGTTTTTAAGAAAATCGACCGCGTTAATACAATTATTATATTTATACATTAATTTTTCAAGTTTTCTAATTAAAATTTTATTATAGATATTTAATTTATTAAGTAAAAAACTAAAATTATTATTGTTCATGTTTATTAAAATAAATAATTGCAATTGTTTAGCTGGTTGGTTGGTTGATTGACTAGATTGATCT